CACACACACACACACACACACACACACACACACACACACACACACACACACACACACACAGCACTGTCACACTGAGAACAAACCGACCTGTTTAATACTAGTGTGCTGTCTGGAGGCCTAAAGCTTCATGATATGCTAACAATGCTTGGTGTGAATTCATGTAAAGCAGAGGTTTGTTTGTGTGCCAGGCTATATAAGCCCTTAATTACTCGAACCCAACTCACGGTTCTCAGCACAACGCCTGCAGTCATGCCCGAGGCCAGAGCCTGATAGGGCCCAAAGACACGGACACCAGAGAAAACTGCTTCATTAGACCATAATCCCTCTTTCCCCTCACACAAACACTCCTAACCAGCTAATCAGCGGCGGAGGGGAGCTTTACATTATTAAAGTGCTTTTCCACCCTCTCACATGAACACAGATTCTTGAAACCGAAGACCTCGTTAAATCAGTCTAGCTTTCTCATGCACGTCATTAACTTTGCTTGATACAATAATTAGAGGCAAAATCTAATGAAACTAAATATCATTGAAGAATATTTTTAAATATTTTAAATACAGTACATGGATGCAAACTCATCAGAGATGAAAATGGGTGAAAAAGATGTGAACCTCCTATAGTCTGATTTTTTTTTTAAATCAGTTTCAAAATGTGGATTTGCAGTTAAAGATATACAGAAAAACAACTCACCTGGACTCTATACAGTTTTTTATAGAATCCATTCAATATGACTATACAACAACAACAATTTACAGATTTAGGAAGAAGGATGGCATATGTTCCACCCAATTCACAGCACTTTTACATTTAAAATGTACATTTACAGTAGATTCGAGCATGAAGACGTATGGTTTATTTTACATGAAGACATGCTTTCGGCATTAGACTACACTGTGACTGCTGTTGTATATACACTAAATATCAGCATAAAAGTGACATAGGCTACTTAAAATGGTAGCAGTTTACAATTCTTCTCTGAAAGTTTGACCAAAATGACAACACAAATTTAATCTTAATTAGACAATGCACTTAGAAGATGTGAAACACTTCATGTCCTCCTTTTCTTTGCCGTGGCGAAATTATTTTAATATATAGCACCTTCAAAGTCCTGGAATAATAATACAATCAGTCTGAAGCCAAGTCCCTGTTGGCCAGAGCTAATGACTGTGATGTTTAAAGCTGTTTGGCTTGATGAGAACAATATATTTACCATTTGTGGTTATCCTGCCACTTTAGTGAAATAGGGGCAGAGCATTTCCTAAGCTTTGCCTTTGTCTAACCAACAACTCTTGCTATTGCAGTTTTACATTAGTCTTGTCATTATTCAGACCAAGGCTGAAGCAATTTGGGGAAATATAAGAGGATGATTTCAAAGAATGCTGTAAGTGGCACAAACAGGCGTCACATCCATGTGATCAGCCTCTTCAGCTGAACATAAAGCACACTGTCAGTGTCTGGTCTCTAGCCATACCTGCGAGCAGCGATAGCGGGCCCAAGCTTACAGCGCCATCTGCTGGCTTCAGGAAACAATGCAGTCTTTGGTTGATAGCAACCAGAAACATTTACATTTTACGTATTTTATGCACAATCTACAAATCAGTCACAATGAGGAAAAACAGCAACAGCAGCAAAATGTTTCAATTCAATTCTGGTGTGACTGTTACAAATAGCAAACTTGTGAAGTTAAATCAATAATTCTGCCACAATGCTAGAAAAAGGCACACAGCTTGAATGGGTGAAACTCTAAAACATCAAGGGTGTAAAATAGACACAAAGATGTCCAGTTATTACAAATTAGGACGTGACCAAAAGAAGGTTTTGGGGGATTTAGCTCACTTTTGGGTATCTGTCGCCAAAATATGTTGTGATTTGTGCAATCTTTATTTCAAATATTTGCTGTGTGTGTGTGGCTATTTTGCACTGTTGATATTTTAGTTGAACCACGTTTGTAAGCCCACTGTGTGTTTTTCTTCATCGTGCATGATTCATTTCTTATGACAGTCATTTATGATCATGAACCGTACAAGTGTGACCACTACAACCATTTAGCATTTTATATTATATCCACAATTGTGCTCAGAGAGCAAGCTCCTCAAACATCATCATGCTTCTTTCCATCCCAGTTGAGTCAAAACGTAACTTTTTCAGCACCAGAGGGTTAAACCAATTATAAAACAGAAAATATCTTCAGGCAAGTATTTTAAATTATATAAAACTGTATCTTTAAAGCTACAATCTCAGTTCTAACTATACAGAAGATTTTTTTTTTCATTTACCTAAAAGACACCAATTTTGTGCAAACAGTTTAGCTGGTTTACATTCAAAAATAAAAAGTCAGAGGAATGACATGCATAACCGTTGCCGTCACAGTCACTAGCGGGCGCTTCCACTATTAACAGAATCACACAGAAATCTGGAGGGAAAAATATATTTACAAAGGATGCTGTACATCAAACGTATGATATAAATGAGAAGCAATGTGTGCTCTTAGCCACTGTGCCAATCTATAATAACCTATATATAATAAACAGCTATATGCACCAAATTATACGTATCCTGTCACCAGCTCTGCCCTGAAAACGGACAGGACCACGTCACTTCAGAGATAAAACATGGCATTAACCATGAACACTGATATTTAGGAGGCAATAGAGAAATGGTGGGAGAGACGCTTCCATTTAAAAGACATTCCTCCGTTCTACAGACGAGCAACAGACGGACACGAGTTTGACAGATGGATTTTGTAAGACTGGAGTCACTGAGCTGTGTTTGTCCTCCTCCACAGGTCGCGTCTGTCTGCGAGTGGCCGGTCGTCACCACTTGCCCCTCTTGCTCCAGTCTTTAGGAGTGAAATGCAAGCATTTGGAGTCGATACGGAGGTGCCGCTTCTGCATGGCCCGCTCATGCCCCTCCACGATGTCCTCTGATAATGTGAGGATATACTGACCCTGCGGGAGATCAACAAACCCAGCTCAAGTCAAGCAGAAAACAAACAAATGCAATGCTCTGTTGGGTTTTTACAATACGTTTTAAAGACCTGACACCATGATTCATTAACAGAAGATAATTAGCAATACTTCGCATAAATGCGCACTCTTCATTGATTGTGAACTGCTCTGAAACTGGCAGCCGCACTATATCCTGACACTGAAAGCTGCGGAGCTCTTATTAATTTACTGAAAACACAGCCTTTTGATGTTTAATAATCACATTAAGCCTTTTCATGATTCATGTTTTTCCGTCCCCAAATTTAAGACTTCTTGGAATTATAAATAAAACTTCTTTTATAATATTAAGTACATTTATGGCCTTAAATGTGATGTGAATTGTAGACTTTAATCTGAAAGCAAGCATCCTAAGTGATCGCTTACCTTATAATAATTGATGAGGTTGAGGTACTGAAGAGTTGATATCACATCTTCTTTCTTGACACTGGTGATCTCACTGATTTCACTGAGAGAATCCACAAATCATATAAGATTAAAAAACTAAACAACCTACCTTACAAACAGACCTCTTTAAAGGGATAGTTCACCCAAAAATGAAAATTAGCCGAGGATTTACTCACTCTCAGGCCATCCTAGCTGTGTATGACTTTCTTCTTTCAGACGAATCCAGTCGGAGTTATATTAAAAAACGTCCTGGCTCTTCCAAGCTTTATAAAGGCAGTGAATGGGTGTTATTTTTCAACAGTCCAAAAGAAGTCCAATAAAGTGCATACATCCATCCTGTAGGTTAATAAAGGCTTCCTGAAGTGAATCGATGTGTTTGTGTGAGACAAATATCCATATTTAAAACTTAATAAACCGTAATCTCTAGCTTCCGCTAACTGTCGTACGCGCATTCACGAGAGAGTGGCGTTCCAGCAGATGACGCAGGACGCAAGCGTAGAATTAATGGATTGGCGGAGTTTATTGTGCTTATTTTGGACTGTTGAAAAATAACACCCATTCACTGCCATTATAACGCT